CCCTACACATCCCACTCCTTGGATTTGTTCCTTCACGAGAGGGATGTGATGTCACGGTGTCCAAACACATGATGAACCTCCATGGTCAGTTCTGTAGTGGAACAAAAGATGCAAATACGAGAAAAGAAAGTCCCACATTAGCAAGGCTGAAAAAAGCCTTAACAGTCATCCATGGCATGGAGGTATTTTTAACCCTGCTGGGACACAGCCTGTGCAGTCAGGGCACAGTTTCACCAGGTGTTGTCACCCAGTGGAGCCACCTGTCCCTGAACCAGCTGTTGGGGGTTCCCCGGGGGATGCCAGAGCCAGCACAGGGCAGGGAGGTCACAAGGGACAAGAGCAGCCAGACATCACCCCTGTAGGAACCACAAGGTGTCTGCTCAGCTCAGCCAGCCCTGACTGCCAGGGAGGAATCATCGAATCCCAGAGTGGTTTGAGCTGGAAGGACCTTAAACCTCATCCAGTCCCACCCCCTGCCATGGGCAGGGACACCTTCTACTAGCCCAGTTTGCTCCAAGCCCTGTCCAGCCTGGCCTGGAACACTCCCAGGGACGAGACAGCCACAGATGCTCTGCCTAACCTGCTCCAGCGCCTCAGTACCCTCACAGAGAACAATTCCTTCCCAATATCCCGTTCATCCCTGCTCCCTGGCAGTGGAAAGCCATTCCCCCTTGTCCTGTCCCTCCAGGCCCTTGTCCCAAATCCTTCTTGCATTTCTCCTGAGACATGGACCTGCCTGAGTGGGTTCAATCCAGCAGGGAGCAGCTCCAGCGTGGGCAGTGTCATTCCAAAGCCCGCGGCATTATGAGGGAACAACTCACTTGGTAGGAAACTCACTTGGCAGGAGGATGTCAGGGCACACCCCACAAAGCAGCTCAGACAGCAACATCAGGGACACTGCACACACCTCCTTTATGTAGCAAAACACAACTTGAAGCAATTTTGATTCTGTCACAGCAAAAGAAGCATCTAAAAGGTCCTCAAGCCGCTACCCATGGGAGCTTCACCCTCTCCACGGCCTCAGACAGTCCTGGAGGGCACCTGGTACTGCCACTGCCTCACACAGCCACACCAGTTACACGTGAGGATGGAAAAGCCAGAACAAGCCAGTCTGGGCCACACATTCCATGTCTACCTCCACACCCCCTGACAGTCCCACCTGCTCCAGAGCCAGAACAACAGCAGCTAGAACAGAGCATCAAGGCCTGTGACAAATGCAGTGTTTCCCTCAGAGGAAATCACACCATCGGCACTTTCTCCCGTAATCCAGGAAGGAATATGAGAACTCTAACTGGCATGTTTGCCAGGACAGGTGGGAAGCACAGACTGGCACCCAAAACACTCCCTGAGCCCACAGCCTGTCCTGCACAGGCTGAAGGTGTCTCACCCTCTTCAAATCAATCATACATTAATCTGGATATTCAGTGTCTGGATTCCATGGAGATCATTCCATTCCCCATCTCATTTGAGCTTTAAAGTTATTCCTCAATATAGAAGAAAAGCTGAAATTTTGTTGGGAAAAAAAATAAATTAACAGGCCTTACTTTCTGTTTCTGAGAAAAAACATCACATCTCCTGTACAAGTGCTGGTAAAACTAAGGAACTACTGCAAAACCTATATAGCAGAGCAAGTCTTGTTTCCAAGAAGCAGAACAAAAAGAAATATTTAAATATTTCAAATGTTCTGTGTCTTCTTTTCTCAGAAGCAGAACAAAAAGAAATATTTAAACATTTCAAATGTTCTGTGTCTTCTTTTTCTTTCTATTCAACTCCACCTTGAACACTTACTTTGATCAACACTCACAAGCAGCAACACTCACCAGGCCTTTAATTTTCCAGCCTTTCTCTGGCATGCTCAAGACAAGTTATCTGCTCAATACCTGTCTTGTTTCTTTAACTATCTGGGGTGGAAAAGTCCCATTTAAGAAAATAAAATGGAAAAAACCAACAAAACCTAACAACTGGACACTTGTGAAAAGCTAAAGAAAATCCCCTTTCAGGCTATATTACAGTTAAAAGCTTCAGCTGTGACTTATGGAGGGCTAAACCCAAAACTTAAGCTGGTTTTAAACCCTGTCTGGTTTTAGACAGTCCCAAAGGTGGAATCAGAACTTTGCAGCTCCTTTAGGACACAGCACACCAGACACCTGAGCTCTGCAGCTGCCTTCACCAGGGAACTCAACACCCCCAGCACAATCCTCTCTCCAGTAATATCCAGGATCCACAGGGAAATGAAAACCCTTGTGCAACCAAACCCCCCTAAGCCAAGCCGAGCTTCCTGCACAGTCCGTGTACTCCAGACGCCGGAGGAGCCAGGGCAGCTGTGAAATGAATGGTGACCACGTGAAGCCTCCCTGGAGAATCACTTCTCTCCCAGCTGCTCCTTCCCACACAGACACCAGCTCGCTCCCCGACAAGCCCAAAACTTCCCGGAGAGTTACCTGGGCTCTCTCTAGTTGACAAGCACTGCAGATATTTGTTCATGCTGGGGAGGCTGAAGCTGCCAAGACACCCTGGCCAGGCTCCTGACAGAGCACTAGCCACGTGCAGACACAGCACTC